GTTGTATGAAGGTGGAAACTGCAGTCAGAGAGGTCGCGTAAGGCACCCAGGGTCTCACAGCCCAGGCGACAGAGCCGGTCCTGGGCCGCTGACTCCTCCACCTCTGCCCACACTTCATGGCCTCTCACGTCCAAACCTGTCAGCCTCAGGGCCGGCCCTGCCTGCTCACCCATCTCTGCACACAGATGGAGGGAATCGGGTGTGCTTGGGGTAGGGGTGACAGGGACCAAGTCAGCCAACAGAGGCCCTCGGGTTCTCATCCAAGTTAAGCCCCAGGAAATGCCCAGGGCATCTGTCAGGCTGTTCTGCTTTCCCCTCAGCTCAGGGGAAGTTATCTGGTGTATCAACAGGCAAGGAGCTGGCGGCTGGGAGAACACCGGTGGGCGGCCCCCTTCCTGCTGCCCTTTCTGTATCACAGAACTAGCCCAGTGAGGGCTGCGACCTCCAGCCCGGGGTCACCATAGACGGCAGCATCCTAAGGGTTTCAGTAAGTGTGTCTGAAAAAGAGTAAGATACAGGATGCAAAGAGAAAACGCTTAATAAGTCAGCATCCAGGAAGTAGTGAATGATCAATCCATCCACTGAGCCTATCAGTCAATCTCAAAATAAAATTAAGGTCACTGGATTGAAGTTGACCTTGGGTGTCACCTGACTTGAAACCTCAAACTACAGTAGCTCGACTCTCTTTCCGTCACCCTGCTCCCCCCAAACCTCTAAAATGATAACTATTATCTTTTTTCGCTTTGTCCACAGGCTTGATAGGAGCTCCCAAGAGAGAGACCTGGCTACAGCTCAGAGCTGAGCTGGAAGCTCTGACTGATCTCTGGCTGACCCACTCTCTGAAGGCACTAAACCTCATCAATTCCCGGTAGGTGGGAGCCCCATTTTTTCTTTGTGCCACTGAACTTTCTCCCATTCGAGGCTGGTGGCCCCTCCACTTCCATACTGGGACAATCAGACTCCCCAGATTCTCCCTTGCACACTTTCCAGACATTTGATAAAGCTGGGATGTGCCCGAACCATGGACACCTTGTCCCATAGATGAGCAGATAGCTGCAGAGACTCAGGCAAGGGCCTGCAGAGCTGAAGACTTCTGTCCATAGGTTTGTCTTCTCCCGTCTTCTCTTGCCCACGACACCCTGCAGCCACAACATCGCCCTGTGAAAATCATTTTATAGGATGCCACAGTTCACCTGGTGGGCCCTTAGTGAGGTCAGAAGAGTCCAGTTTCCAATTTATTAGGCCTCCTAATAAATTGCCTCTTGCTCTTAAAAAAAAAAAAAAAAACACCTGTGGCAGAGAACAAATTACTCTGTACCAACAGCATAATTCTTATGACCCAACATAAGAATGGGTTACAAACTTATGAATGGGTTACCCAATTTATGAATGGTTACAAAATGGCATCCCATGAGCTGAATCCATCCTACTGATGCATTTTGTCTGATACACACTTGGCCCCAAAGACAGGGAAGATTAATCCATAATTGCAGGTTCTGAGGATGTCAGGGGTCAGAACCCGCACGTGCTTTCCAGTTTACCCCGGTCCTCACTTCTCCCTGCTGTCCTGCACTAGTTCAGTACCACTCAGGTACATTTCCAGTAGGTCCCTGCAGCTATTTTAGTGACCCTTGCAATAAACATTTGATTTGTAAATAGAAGTATTATACTTGTATTCAATTTTAATGTGTCAGGCAGGCTTAAAAGAGAGGAATGGCTGGAGGATCCTGGAACTCCAGCCACCGTCACCTGAAGATGACTTAGCCAGAGCCTCAAACCTCACCAGAATTCCCACTGACTCCAGGCTCAGCTACAGAACTCCTTGTGCTATCCCGGAGTTCTGACCCACAGTCTTCTTTGTCCTCAGGCCCAATTGTGTCAACGTGCTAGTCACCACCACTCAACTAATTCCTGCCCTGGCCAAAGTCCTGCTGTACGGATTGGGTTCTGTGTTTCCTATTGAGAACATCTACAGTGCAACCAAGACAGGTAAGGGGAACCTGGACCTATAGAGGGGAAGGGTTAAGGTCAATTTTGCCTGCCGGGATGAGAGGTTTAATGACATGAGGGAAGTTAAAGAATTTGTCCAGAGGCATGACCAAACTCCCCAAACCACCCTCATAACTCACTGGGATTAACCTCTGATCTAGACAAATTGCTTAGTTTTGGAGTTTTCCAAAGTGTATTTAGTAAAGATGTGCACAAAGCTGCTATTAACAAATACCCACAAACACAAGGGTTTAATTACATTAGTGCATGTGTGCGTGCTAAGTCGCTTCAGTCGTGTCTGACTCTTTGCAACCCTGTGGACCACAGCCGACCAGGCTCTTCTGTCCATGGGATTCTCCAGGCAGGAATACTGGAGTCGGTTGCCATGCCCTCCTCCAGGGGATCTTCCTGACCCAGGGATCGAACCTGCATCTTTTGTGTCCTGCATTGGCAGGCAGGCTCTTTACCACTAGCCCCACCCTTGGGACGACCCTAATTACATTAGGGCCAAAGCTAATATCTCTCAGATGTCAAACAGACCAGAGGCGAGGGATCCAGGCTGATGGGGTGATTCTGTTCTCATACTCACCCAGGAAGCCAGGTTCTTCCCATTTTATTTTCCCATTATCATCCCTTCTAATTTTATTCTCATCAGTTCAGTTCAGTTACTCAGTTGTGTCCGACTCTTTGTGACCCCATAAACCGCAGCACGCCAGGCGTCCATTTCCATCACCAACTCCCAGAGTTTACCCAACTCATGTCCATTGAGTTGGTGATGCCATCCAACCATATCATCCTCTGTCGACCCCTTCTCCTCTGCCCTCAATCTTTCCCAGCATCAGGGTCTTTTCAAATGAGTCAGCTCTTCGCATCAGGTGGCCAAAGTATTGGAGTTTCAGCTTCAACATCAGTCCTTCCAGTGAACACCCAGGACTGATCTCCTTTAGGATGGACTGGTTGGATCTCCTTGCAGTCCAAGGGACTCTCAAGAGTCTTCTCCAATACCACAGTTCAAAAGCATCCATTCTTCAGCGCTCAGCTTTCTTTACAGTCCAACGCTCACATCCATACTTGACTACTGGAAAAACCATAGCCTTGACTAGACGGACCTTCGTTGACAAAGTAATGTCTCTGCTTTTTAATATGCTGTCTAGGTTGGTCATAACTTTCCTTCCAAGGAGCAAGTGTCTTTTAATTTCATGGCTGCAGTCACCATCTGCAGTGATTTTGAAGCCCAAAAAAATAAANCCCTTGAACAATAAGATCAAACCAGTCAATCCTAAAGGAATCAGTCCTGAATATTCACTGGAAGGACTGATGCTGAAGCTGAAGTGCAATACTCTGGCCACCTGATGCAAAGAACTGACTCATTGGAAAAGACTCTGCTGCTGGGCAAGATTGAATGCAGGAGGAGTAGGGGACAACTGAGGATGAGATGGTTGGATGGCATCACTGACTGGATAGGCATGAGTTTGAGTAAACTCTGGGAGTTGATGATGGACAGGGAGGCCTGGAATGCTGGAGTCCATGGGTCACAGAGTCAGACACGACTGAGCAACTGAACTAAACTGAGAAAGTAATTATTTGGGCTACATGTTTCAGAAAGAGTGATCATAGCAACATTCATCTGCTTTTCCTCATTTTTCTGAAACTGGCTTTGTTTATTCAAGGGAGGTTTTCCTGAGGGCTTGGAATTTATGGACACAGAATGGATCATAATTTACTTACAAAATAATGTCTTAGCTACATGCTTGTCTATTCCTCCTTACTGAGAAATTGTGATGTAGAGTTTTATTTTAGTTATCCTTCTCAATTTTGGCTTCTGTGCATTTTCTTGAGTCTCTGACACTGCATGAAGGCAAAGACTGTTATCCACTAATGCCATAATCTTTCCTGGGCTGTGCTCCTGACTTTGTTCTCATACATTTTCATATCACAGGGAAACTGATGAAATCTACAAGAATGGGTACATCATATAAAGTTAACTTACAAACATGAATTTTGTTTCTTTATATGCATGACAAACTTGGAGACTGAAACTTTCAAAACCCAGCACTGTATATAATACCACAAAAAAATAGAAAATAATTATGGGAAAAAAATTAAAAATATATATATGAACAAGACTCTTATACTGAAAACCCCAAAATATGGCTGAGAAAAATTAAAGATACAAAAATGTGAAGAGATATAATGTCTTCCAGAATTGAAAGTCACCATGTTGTTAAGATGCTGCTGCTGCTAAGTCACTTCAGTCGTGTCCGACTCTGTGTGACCCAATAGATGGCAGCCCAGCAGGTTCCCCCATCCCTGGGATTCTCCAGGCAAGAACGCTGGAGTGGGTTGCCATTTCCTTCTCTAATGCATGAAAGTGAAAAGTGAAAGTGAAGTCGCTCAGTCTTGTCCGACTCTTAGCGACCCCATGGACTGCAGCCTACCAGGCTCCTCCGTCCATGGGATTTTCCAGGCTAGAGTACTGGAGTGGGGTGCCATTGCCTTCTCTGACCATAGCTAAGCCCCGCTAAAACTCAGGAAATTCTATTACTAAGAAAGAAGAGGAAAACATTTCCCACCCCAGGATGGTACATGAGGTGGTTTTATTTTAGGTAGTATATTAAATAACCTAACCTTGAACCCACACAGAAGACTATCGATTTTTTAATGCTCTTTAAAGAAGAGTGTCTCAGTTTAGTGTTATCATGTTTCAACAACTTTTTCATATTTGCTAATCTCCCTTATTAACAGAGAAAACACCTTAGGCTCAGAGCTTTCATCAAATAAGAGAATTCAGTAACTAGAAATGGACAGAAGCATTTGTCATCAGGACAAGTAATATTGGTTTTTCTGGGGGAGAGGTAGAGGGAGACTGTGTCTTGATTTGTGTGTGGGGGTGTGTGTGTATCACCTAAAATGGTATAATAATACTAAATCTAGTTGAGATGTTTTTAATGAGACATTTTTACCTGTGTTTTTTTCTGGAGCAAAAATCAATTTATAATATATACTTTGGAAGCATTTCCTTAGAGCAGAGCCTTTACTAAAGTTCTAGATCATAGATGGCTAGGACTAGATGTCCTTCAGTGCTCAGGGTAGCAAAGAAATTAGCCAGCCCAAAACATCAGGAACACCGAGGCTGAGAAATGCGGATGGAGGTGAAGTGCTGAGCAGGTGCCAGCATAGAGTCACAGCTGTCACTATTAGCATGCTTCTTGTTATGATGGTCGTTCCGAAACTTGCCAACAAGGTCGGAATGAGCTAAGATCTGAATTCAGTGCAGGATTGATGCTGCTGCCTGGCCACCTGGTATGAAGGAGAACATGAAAAGATGGTCATCTATACAAAACAGGAGAAAAGCAAACCGGGGAATCCCACGAGGGCCACTCTGGCGCCAGGCTGCCCACCCTCGGACACGTGAAGCCCGACACTTCTGCCTCCTAACCCTGGGACCCTGGGCAGATCGCCTCACCTCTCGGGGCTTCACGTCTAATCTGTAAAACGGGTCCATCGCTCTTACACCAGACAGCTGCATAGACACCAGAGCTTGTTTCAAACCCCTGTTCTGCTTTCTGCTGGGTCCTCGTGGACCAGCCTCTTAACCGCTCTGGGCCTCTGTCTTGTCGTCCCGTCGCCTGGGGACAGGGACACCTCCAGGTTTGCTCGAGGATGAAATGACTCATCCCAGGTCCTTAGGCAGACGGCTGCATGAAGGAAGCTCTTAATTAGCGGTGATTATGCACCACAGTCCCGGGTCCTCACCAAGCATCTTCCTTTCCTTCCACGCATGCAGGGAAGGAGAGCTGCTTCGAGAGGATAATGCAGAGGTTCGGCAGAAAGGCTGTCTACATCGTGATCGGCGACGGTGTGGAAGAGGAGCAGGGAGCCAAAAAGGTACTTTGTCCACACAGCTCTCAGGGCGCTTCCCCCTCCTCTGTTGAGCCTGTCTCCCTTCCAGGCTCTTTGGTCGCTGGTCCACTCCCACTCAGAAATCTCAGAAGCATCCTGAGTCATTTCCTTCTGCAAATCCCCACTCCGTGCCTTTGGCTGCTGCCCCTGGTAGCCTTGCATTGTTTCTGGGACAACTGCTCGGGAGCCCAGAGACCCTCCATCAGGGCAGGCTGGTGGGGGGGCTGGTGCACGTGTGTGTTTTATTTAATACTCACTGATCATATGTTCCAGGAACCCTTCCCAGTTAATAAAGACAGCATTAAGCTAATGAAAAAGAAAATCCTGCTTTTGTGATCTCAGGCCCATGAGGAGATGGGCAGGGGGTTCTGGTGGCCGCAGCTCTGTTCTTGGAAAAGAAACAGCTGCTAAAGTCCGGGGTCTGGACCTGTCAACAGCATCCCAGAGAGCCTGCTGCCCCCCACCCAGGGCCCTGGGAAGTGGATTGTTAATGTCACAGAGCTTAATTTGGGGGACCTGGTTTCCCCCTTCCTGCCTCAGAAACAGATTCTAAGGAAATGCAAAAATGTTTAGGGTCTCAGCGGATGAAATCCATGAGAAGATGGAAGGTCCTGAGACAGGGGCTCAGGAGAGGGAAAGCTTAGAAGGCTTTGCATATACCGGTGCAGCCTCCTGGAAGGCTCCTCCCCTTCCCTTCCTTGCTCCTCCCCTTGCTCTTCCAGCCTCAGCCTCCCTCCAGAGGAGGCTTTCCCTCCCAGCTCCCATTCCCACCTTCCAAGCTCAATGAGGCCTGCCTGCACTTCCCTCCCGCAGATCATATTCCTCCTCCAAGGCCTTATCCCCTCTTGTTACGAAAGAGCTACCTATGTGACTCGTGGCTGCATCACCAACCCTCCACCTGGAGTGTAAGCTCCATTACCTGAGCACCTACTTTGTGCTGGTCTCTCTTGCAGGCACTGCGCCTGGGCAGTGAGCAGAACACACAGGCCATTCTCACCCCGCACTCAGCTCACAGCCTGGGGACAAGGTTAGCACCTAAGTGTAACAAGCGTGTCAGATGACCGCCAGAGCTTTGGAGAAAAATAAAGCGGAGAGTGGAGAACAGAGGAGGCGCTAGGGGCGGGCAGGCTGGTAGTGCAGGTGGTGATCAAGGCCTGCCTGGCTGCGAGGTGATGGCCGAGCAGAGGTGGGAGGAGAGGAAATGAGCCAAGTGAGCATCAGAGGGAGGGAATTTCAGGAGAGGAACCAAGGAGTTCAAAGGTCCGAAGGCTGGGGCTTCCTGCAGAAAGCCAGCGTGGCATCAGGGATGCACCAAGCAAAGGGCAGGGCAGGTCAGGAGGTGTGGTCTTGGAGGTACCTGGGGCCTTTGGAGGGACTTCAGCTTTTACTCTGAGCACTTCTTTTTAAAGCGGATTTCTTTAACTTTAAAAATGAATTGATTTAGAGGGACTTCTTTACCTGGCTGTACTTAACCAGTGGCGCTCCAGTGGTTAAGACTCCACACTCCCAATGCAGGGACACAGGTTTGATCCCTGGTCAGGGAAGTGAGATCCCACACACTACATGGCATGGTTTACATTCGATTTAGAGGAGAAAATATTAATCATAGCTATCGGGGTGACCATGAAAAAAGGTGAGCACCAAAGAATGGATGCTTTTGAACTGTGGTGTTGGAGAAGACTCTTGAGAGTCCCTTGGACTGCAAGGAGATCCAACCAGTCCATCCTAAAGGAAATCAGTCCTGAATATTCATTGGAAGGACTGATGCTGAAGCTGAANTATGGCCACCTGATTCGAAGAACTGACTCATTGGAAAAGATCCTGATGCTGGGAAAGATTGAAGGCAGGAGGAGAAGGGGATGACAGAGGATGAGATGGTTGGATGGCATCACCAACTCAACGGATATGTGTTTGAGCAAGCTTCAGGAGTTGGTGATGGGCAGGGAGGCCTGGCATGCTGCAGTCCATAGGGTCACAAAGAGTCAGACTAAGTGAGTGAGCTGACTGATACGGGTGATACACCAGGATATGACCAAAACAGTGGTGTGAACCTCATGAATTATCACATGAATCCAGGACCGGTGTGCCAGGTCAAGAGCTGGTCTCCGGTGAACCTACCCGAAGCCCACTGCTGGGGTGGGAGGGGGAGTCCAGAGCCCCTTTTGCAAGTTCAGATCTAATTGAGAAGAACCTCTGCCCAAGCATATGACAGCGATCAAAATAAACTTTGCTTCTATCAGAGTTAGATTGAGAACTTGCTTAGCCTCTGGTCATGGGCACTCTACCTGCCCTCTGGTTCTCACCTGGAGAATGACAAGGAAGTCCATGGAGTCACTGCCGTTCACTTGCCTTCTCACATCAAAGGGGGTTTCTTTTTTTTTTTTTTTAACAATTTATAGTCCTTTTAATAGTGTTTTATTCATACTACTACTGAGGGTAATTAGTAGTTATTATGTAAGGCATTCATACTTTATTCATATTAAATTATTGATGTGTACATTTTTAAACCTTTTGTCAGTGCTCCGTTGACTAGATACTGTTTGCAGAGAACTAAATTATTACAAGGACCATGGTTTCAGAGATCAAAAACTCAAGGTGATTACTTCACTTTGAGTAACTTTTAAAGATAACCACTTCCCAACCAAATAAATGGAACTGAGTACTATGTCGTCTTGGTGGTTTTGTCGCTAAGTCATGTCCGACTCTTGCGACCCCATGGACTGTAGCCTGCCAGGCTCCTCCGTCCATGGGATTCTTCAGGCAAGAATATTGGAGTGGGTTGCTGTTTCCTTCTCCACAAAGGGGGTTTCTTAGGGCGGTGTAGGAGATGTTTGGAAATGATCACTTACTATCCTGAAATGAAATACTAATGGATAAGCAAACCTCCTTAAAACCATCATTTCCTGCCCCAGGAAAATTTTTAAAAAGAAAATAAAAAGCATAGTGTCCTGGAGATCAACATCCAGTGATACAGAGAGAAATAAGGGCGGGACCTCCTTGGTGGTCCAGTGGTTAAGACTTCCCCTTCCAGTGCAGGGGATGCAGGTTCTATCCACAGGGGGCTGAGATCCCCCATGTCTCAGGACCGAAACATAAAACAGAAGCAACATGGTAACAAATTCAATAGTTCAAAAAATGGTCCTCATCAAAAATAATTTTTTAAAGAAATAAGGGAAGTCATTTGTACTCAAGGGTTCCTCAGGTGGCGATAGTGGTAAAGAATCCACCTGCTAATGCAGGAGACACGAGAGACGCAGGAGACACGAGGTCGATCCCTGCGTCCGGAAGGTCCCCTGGAGGAGGGCACGGCAACCCACTCCGGTATTCCTGCCTGCAGAATCCCATGCACAGAGGAGCCTGGTGGGCTACGGTCTATAGGGTCACAAAGAGTTGGACATGACTGAGCACACACACGTATTTATACTCACAATAACATGTGCTCCAGTGGTAAACGTTTGAGCACAGAGCCCTGCACCCAAAAGCGCTGTCACTGAGGATGCAGCCCAGCAAATGCAGGACACGAGTGTGCAGTCCCGGCCACTCACAGAGCCATCGAGGCGCTGCAGCCGTCACGTGATTGCTCCAAACTGCAGAGCAACCCACGGTTAGGCTCGGAGTAAAACAAAATATAGGCTTCCCCAGTTCGCAGTCATTGCAGCCCTGGAAAACGTTGATTAAAAGCATGGGAAAGATACTCTGTTTATGTGACAAAGTGGAGTTAAGGGTCTCCACTCGGGTTATTATGAATGGGTTTGTACTTACTTAAATACCTGGCAGAACATTTGAAAATCATTCACATCTAAGGTGTGTGGGATGGAGCAGGCGCCTGCACCTCATGTAGCGCCCCCCAATCATGACGACAGTCAAAACTCACACAGTCACTCCTAGGGGGCAGGCTGCTGCTTAAGAACTGCTAGTCTAGGTCGCCCTCCCTTAGAGAGCCAGGAGGAGGGGGTGCTAACAGAGATGCCTCTTCATAAACTAAAGTTCTTTTTTCTTTGCGATCTTAGTTCTCCAACCGGGGATTGAACCCACGCCCCCTGCAGTGGAAGCGCAGAGTCTTAACCACTGGACCTCCAGGGAAGCCCTGCAGGTGCCCCTTTCAATTCTGTGTCCCAGGCGCCTCCGTCGCCTCACCCTACAGCTACCTGGCTCTCACAGAAACACGTGGCCAGGGGAGCATATTTTGCCCTAAATCCCAGCTCGGCCATTGGTGGCTGTGTGCCTTTCAGGCAGTGGCGGCCCTCTCTGAGCGGCCTTTTTATCTTTGCCCCTGCAGAGAACAGGCGCCAAGGGGGCCAGCAGGAGAAGCGTGCAGAGTTGGCCCTCAGCAGCCAAAGTGGGCGCGGTTACTACTCCCTGGGGCTGGGGGTAGTGGGGGGAAGCTAAATCCATCTTCAGAAACTCAGAGGAGGGTCTGCCTCTAGGGGAGCCAGCAGAGAAAGAACACAGGAGTCCGAATTTGCGCAAAACAAGGGGGCGCCGGGATGAGCAAAGAATCCAGTGAAAGATGAGCGAAGAGCGGCTTCCCTGGTGGCTCGCTGGTGAAGAATCCGCCTGCCAATGCAGGAGGCATGGGTTCGATCCCCGGTCCGGGAGGATCGCACATGCCACAGAGCAGCTGAGCCCAGGCATCAGAACTGCTGAGCCCGTGTTCTAGAGCGCAGGAGCCTTACCTACTGAGTCCGCTTGCCCTGAGTCCGTGGTCGACAACTGTAGAAGCCTCTGCAGTGAGAAGCCTGAACACTGCGCCTGAAGAGCGACCCCCGCCCCCTTCAACTAGAGAAAAGCCCTCATGGCAGTGAAGACCCAACTCAGCCAAAGATAAACACATTTTTAAAAATAAGGCAAAGAAGTTTATAAAAGAAAACAGAAGTCTGCCAAATACAAGACACAAAAGTAAACTGATATCAAAAAAGCCAAATGTCGTCACAATAAATGGGAATGAAGCAAAATATCAAAGTCAGTGATTTTCTGACAGTTTTTTTTTTTTTTAAGCTGGCTGAATGTGAAAGATTCCTAATATAGAGAACAGTTGAAAAATACAGAAAAAGTATTCATGTGTATACTAACAATGAAAGCCGATGCAGGTGTATTAATATCAAGCAAATGGATTTTAAGGTGAAAATATTACTAAAAAATTAGAAGTATAAAAGTGTTCATTTGAGCTAAACTTGCAAGTACCTAATAAAATAGCTTGGGCTTCCCTGGTGGCTCAGAGGGTAAAGCATCTGCCTGCAATGTGGGAGACCGGGGTTCAAATCTCCGGTCGGGAAGATCCTCTGGAGAAGGAAGTGGCAAGCCACTCCAGGACTCTTGCCTGGAAAATTCCATGGACGGAGGAGTCTGCTAAGCTACTATCCATGGGATTGCAGAGTCACATACAACTGAGCAACTTCAAAATTAAATAGCTTAAATAAGAAAAAACAAAATCTGCCCACATAACAAAAACTCACCCCAGTGTCTTGTTTGGGCAAAGTCCACAGGAGCAAGTATGTCACTGAATCCAGGCTGAGGGAGTGGGTGAGGTAGTCCCCAGGGGTCCAGGCTTTGTACAGCAGAGTTTGCGTTGCCAGAGATGCCGGCCGGCAGCTTCAACAGCGGAGAGCTGTCTCCGCCTTCCGTTAGCAGCCCACAGAGCCGGGGCAGCCCAGGGGCCCAGGCCCCGTCCGTCTTGTTGCTCTGCCAGCCCCGGTGCTGCCATTACCATACAATCCACGAAGGCTCCTCACCCCCTCCACGCCTGCACTCCCCCACCAGGAAAATCAAGGAGGAGGGAAGAGGGGAGGACCCCCTGCCCTTTAAGAGCACCGCGGATACAGCGATACGACATCACTGCTGCTCGGATCCTATTGGCCAGATTTCTGAGTCAGGAAGTCACACCTTGTCACAAAGGGAGCTGGAAGATGTGGCCTTGATTCTCAGCCACTCCTGCCTAGCAAGGCAAGAAACAATGGAAGAAAAGGAAGAAAAGAAGGACGGAGCATTTTTCTTAGAAGGGGAGAATGAATGTACGGAGCCAGTCAGCAGTCTCCATCACAGCCGGCGGGGCTGTCACTCATCCCAGGCCTTCAGTTCAGTTCAGTCACTCAGTCGTGTCTGACTCTTGGCAACCCCATGGACTGCAGCATGCCAGGCCTCCTTGTCCATCACCAACTCCCAGAGATTACTCAAACTCATGTCCATCGTGTCGGTGATGCCATCCAACCATCTCGTCCTCTGTCATCCCCTTCTCCTCCCGCCTTCAATCTTTCCCAGCAGCAGGGTCTTTACCAATGAGTCAGTTCTTTGCATCAGGTGGACAAAATATTGGACTTTCAGTTTCAGCATCAGTCCTTCCAATGAATATTCAGGACTGATTTCCTTTAGGATGGACTGGTTGCATCTCCTTGCAGTCCAAGAGACTCTCAAGAGTCTTCTCCAACACCACAGTTCAAAGGTATCAATTCTTCGGCACTCATCTTTCTTTATAGTCCAACTCTCACATCCATACCTGACTACTGGAAAAACCATAGCCTGGACTAGACGGACCTTGTTGGTAATGTCTCTGCTTTTTAATATGCTGTCTAGGTTGGTTACCCACTACTCTTTATTCCTGATGTCATCATTTTATTTAATCCTCCAAGCCCCTACCCCCCGCAAAGTGGGTACCATCCCACTTCATTTTATAGAGGACATGTTTGAGACTCAGAGAGGTTAATTAATTTACTTAAGGTCACACAGCTGCAGTGTAAACTGCTCTGTGCTGTGTGCCAGACACCTGGCAGGAAGAAGGTGGACTTAGGAGTTTGAAACACTGTCGTTCCGCACCCCCGAGCTGGTCAGAAGAGACTGGAGTCCACCAAAGAAGACTCGGGCACACCACCCCCATACGCTCCGCTCCCCTGAAAGTTCCCACCAGTGTCTGAAGCAGCAGCCCCAGCACGATAATGAGCAGCTCTGTGCGCCAGCAGCTCTCCCGACCTGATGGATGGGCCTCATTAGCCCAGGCCGCTGGACACCTGAGCAGTGTGAAATACGGTGACAGGACAGGGGGCTTCTGCTGTCTCAGCTGACAGTGTTGTTAATGTCTCCATTTTAGCGGGTCATTTGTCTCCACCCCTCCACAAGTGAGAAATCCACCCGGGCTCTGCAGTCGCCAGGCCTGGGAGGGAGGCTGCTGAGACAGTCTCTTCCCCTTTGCTCATTTCCTCCCAGAAAAATAAATTACATTGTTTAAGGAGGGACTGGATTGGCCAGGCAGCCACCAACATCCATCTTTGCAGAGAATGAAAGGCTCAGCCAGGCTGAGGGGAGCAGGGTGGGGGCACTGAAAGGCATTAAAGAGATGGCATCTGTTGCCCATGATGGATCGTTTTCTGCTTCTTTTGGGCAAAAGAGGAAAAGATGTGTCCGTTGAGGACTTTGCTTTGAGAAATTCCCCTTCCCTCTTCTTCTCCCTCCCTTCCTTTTTTCATTCATTCCACGAATATTAAGTGCCCACTGTGGGCCAAGAGGCATGCTAGGCAGCAGTGAACATGACTTTCCAAGCTCAAACCCTCCTCAGGGCCTTTGCACTTGCTGCGTCTTCAGCCCCTTGACTACCTCCCCCCACATTTGCATGGCCCCTGCCTTCCCATTCTCTGGGGCCTACTGAAATGTCATCCCTCCAGAGAGGCCTTGCCCTGACCCAGCTATCTAAAGTGCAGAGCCCCCAGAGGCAGGAAAGTGTTATTGTGCTCCTGGAACCAAAAGGACACTTGTATAGTTTTGACCCTGTGGGCAGAGAACCTCACAGAGCAGCAGATCTACCACGGAACTGGGAGCATTCACACACATTCATCAAGCATCCTCTGTTCACTCAGTAAATAACTGAAGGCCAGTGACTGTCTTGAGGATGCTCAGTATCTTTTAGCTGTAATGAAGACTTAAACACTTGCTAACCTCACAAGATTAGAAGTAGGTGTATCCTAGGTCGTTTCAGTGGGTCCAAAAATTCACCAGGTATCCCTTTCCATCATTTTGCTCTACCTTTCTAATCATCTTTGGCTTTTTCATTTCTGATAGTTCATTTCTCATGATCTCAAAACAGCTGCCACAGCTCCAGACATCACATACTAACATGCCATCATTCAAATGAAAGGGGAAAGTAAGAAGGAAAGAGTTCTCAGGTGCTTCTCTGTAATCATGGAGGAAAATCTTTCCCAGACACGCCCAGCAAACTTCCTCATTGACTTCAGTGGCTCACAAGTCAGGAGGGATACAGGACAAATCCCTGACAAACAGGGTTGGAGTTGTCGTAGCTTGCTTACATGATCATAATTCACCCCTTACTTACCTCTCTGGCACAGTGCTGCCAAATTCAGGGTCCTGGAAGTGGGAAGGAGGAGGATGGCAGGCATCAGCTTCAGTCTGTGGTTACATTTTCTAGTGATGAACACGCAGGCAAGTTTTTTCCCTGGAGTCAGACAGAATCTCTGTGCACCTCAGTCTCCTCATTTGTAAAACAAGATAGACATGGTATACAGCAAGTATTATCTGCATTTTTCAGACAAGCAGCAGAGTAAATCACGGTCACCCAGCTAATGAAGGCAGAACAGAGCTTTGACAAGGGCAATCTTAAACATTTAACCTTCACACTATGGAAGTGTTTCACAAATTTCTTCTTTCACATGAGCAATTTCTGTAATCAACATAGCACTTCTTTTACACCAATTACTTCTGCTGTATCTGCATGCTGCCTGTCCTATTATCTACTTCATGTTTCCCTTTCAGTCAACGCGCTTATGTTTAAAATGAAAAACCTCATTGCATGACAGTAACACAGAGCACGCATCACCTGCTGTAAAGAAAAGATAAAAAGTCTCTGGGACCAGCCCTATCTGTTCACATGGAAACTAGTGAGTGTCAGGGAGGGGTTGAAGACATGGTAGCATCTGGCCAAGACTTTCTATCTGAAACGTCATGACTGAGAGCACATTTTTAAGTCGGAATCGCTTTCCTGTTGTGGATTTGATGCCATGTCGGTGCACCGCTTCCCTGAGGCTCAGATGATGAAGAATCTGCTTGCAGTGCAGGAGACTCAGGCTTTATCCCTGGGTCGGGAAGATCCCCTGGAGAAGGGAATGGCAACCCACTCCAGTATTCTCACCTGGAGAATACTGGACAGAGGAGCCTGACGGGCTATAGTCCGTGGAGTCACACAGAGTCAGACACAGCTGAGCGACTAACACTTTGAGCACATCAAGACCACGGCGGTCCCACATGTTGGACAGGGCAGGATAAGTCATCAGAACAGGCTCAGAAGGGGACTTCCCTGGTGGTCCAGGGATTAAGACTCCACACTCCCAATATAGGGGGCACAGGTTCCATCCCTGTTGGGGAACAAAGATTCTCCCATGCCACCGGACAAAGCCAAAAAATAAATAACAGGCTCCAAAGAACTAGAAAGGATGCCCAGACTGGTGGGTACTGATCACATCCGGAGGCGGGGAGGGGTCCACCATGATGTTTTGACTCGGGGACTTCTCCTAAGGCTCCCACCACAGGTATGGGATCCGGGGGGACTGCAGAGCCATAACCGTGTGTCCGCGGTTCTGTGTTCCAGCACAACATGCCGTTCTGGAGGATATCCTGCCACGCGGACCTGGAGGCGCTGAGGCACGCCCTGGAGCTGGAGTATTTATAGCAGCGCCCGCGGCCTCCCCACCTGCCGTCAGAGCTGCAGCCTCCAGCCCAGGCCCCTGGCTTTCCCTGCCGCCCCCGCCAGATGCTGGACAGCAGGCAGGGTCCCTCCAGCCGAGAGGTGTCCAGTGACCATCTCAGAAGTTGTCCTTTCGGCCCCAACGCGGGTCCTGAGAAACGGGGCACCCAGCAGTGGCTTTGGAATATTTAACTTTGGGGAAGAGGGCTGGCTCAGAGTCCAGACTTTTCTACAAGACTCACAGAACAAAAGCAAGGAATTGCTGATTCGGGGGAGGGCTGGTGATGAGAAGGGAACAGGCTTTTTTTTTTCCACTTTAATTTATGGACTACTCTCATTACTCCGCTATTATGCTCTTGTACCTGTGTTGCTGGTTTTCTTAGCTGGTGGTTTTTTGGTTTTCTCAGCGGGCGCGTTTGGCGGCGCACAGTTCTAATTGAAGCCTCTCTGCTCCGAAGGCAGTTCGGGGCTGTGGGGAAGACTGTTGCTTATTTTGTTTTTAAGGACCTAACCCGACGACATGTGGACAGTGCACGTGCCTTCAACTGCCATCTTGTTTTCTGGGAAGCGGGGACCCTGCGGAGGAGGTGGTATTTTGTGACAGAAAGAGGCATTAAATAAAACCACGTTTACATTTTGAAGTGGGGTAGGGTGTCACTACTTGATGACCACCTTTGCAGCTTCTGAATATGTTGGTCTTTTCCTCTTTCATTGCAGAAGTATCAAATCCAACTCAAATTGGCTTAAGCCAAAAAAAAGAAAAGCATCTCCAGGAACTTTAGTCCATATATGTCTTCAGGCATAGCTGGATCCTGGTGGTCAAGTGACTTTCTCCTGGGTGGTTTTACTTCTCAGGTAGGCTCTTCCCTGTTGTGGCAAAAATGGCTCCAAGAATCTTTCAGCAAAACCACACCAGTAGAAAGAGCTGCTTCTGCCTCAAGGTTCCAACAAGATCCCAGGATTGTGTCTCATTGGCCAGACCTGAGTCATGACCTACCCATGGAGCTGGATTTAGGGTTCAATCTCTCATGAGCAGAAAGTTGGAGAGAGCTGGTTCCCCAAAGGAGGAATGAGTGAGCTGCTACTAAAAGAATTTGGGGGGGTGCTGTGGAAATAGAACCGATCTCCATGCCGATGGTAGGAGTTTGTTTTCCAGGGGATGAACCGAGGATTTGGTGTAGGAAACAAGGGACATCTGGAGAAGTTCCAAGGACATCTTCAGCTCTGTTGCTGCCCACAGAGTTCCAAGCAGAGCCTGGATCCATTTGATTGGATGCTAAGCCTAAGTATAAGCTCCTCCCTCTATTCATGTCAGTGAAATC